TAATATTAACAAATTTCATTGTATTTCATAACAAAAATTTGAACTAATAATGGGATCAACTAGGAAAAAGAATGCTCTCATCCTCTTCTGTGCCTGTTTATTCAGTTATTTTTCTCATTGTTGCCTCTTCTTCAGACTATATGCTTGCAGTTTAAAACTTTTCAAATGTGTCCTGAACACAGCTGTTCAGCTGTATGTGGGGAGGAGAGGAACAGGTTTGTTTGAGATCATTAAGGAGCAAACAAGAAAAACTTTTTTTAACCTAAAGAATGCTTGATAAAGTTTTTGTAGGGGTCTGGGAAGGTGGCTCAGTGGTAGAGCGCTTGCCTTGCATGCATGAGGCCCTGGGTTCGATTCCTTAGCACCACATAAAGCAGAAAAAGCTGGAAGTGGAGCTGTGGCTCTAGTGGTAGAGTGCTAGCCTTGAGCTGAAAAGCTGAGGGACAGCGCCCAGGCCCATAGTTCAGACTCCATGACTGGCAAAAAAAAAAAAAACAAAAAGAAACCCAAAAAGCCAAAAACCAAGTTTTTGTAGGGATTTTCTTAAGTACAAGTGCTTGAACTCTTGACTTTTGAGTTCTTCCTCTAGCTCTTTTGCTTTGTTTATTTTTATTTTGTTTTTTGCGAGTCCTGGAAGTGCAAACTGAGGGCCTAGGTGCCATCCCTGAGCTTCTTTTGCGCTCAAGGATAGCACTCTACCACTTGAGGCACAGTTCCACTTCCAGCCTTTTTGGCAGTCTGTTGGAGATAAGTGTCTTAAAGAAGCTGGGCACTGATGGCTCATGCCTGTAATCCTAGTTACTCAAGAGGCTGATAACTGAGGATCAGTTCTGAAGCTAGCCTGGGTAGAAAAAGTCTATGAGACTCTTGTCTCTACTGAACTACCAAAAGAAGCCAGAGGTGGGACTGTGGCTCAAGTGGTAAAGCGCTAGCCTTCAGCAAAAAAAGAAGCTCAGGGACAGTGCCCAGGCTATGAGTTCAAGCCCAGGACTGGCCAAAAAAAAAAAAAAGGTGATAGGCTGCCATTTCATAAATCAGGTAATGAGTACATTTCTTTTTGCTTTTACTCTTTACAAATTTTTTAATTCAATTTTTCTCAATGGGGGTATACTGAGTATTTTTTTTCATTTTTCTTCTTTTGGGGGGGGTCAGTACTAGGGATTGAAGTCAGGGTCCTGCTCTCTTGCATTGCTCAAGACTGCTGCTCTACCATTTCCACTTCTGCCTCTTTGCCACTTAATTGGGGATAAGAACCTGGAGCATTTCTCTAGCTGTCTTCAAACCAATATCCTCAGATCTTTGCCTCCTGAATAGCTAGGATTATAGTTGTGAGCCGCTGCTCTTGCCTAACTTCTTAAAACTCTAACGATGTCTTTTTCCAGTGTGCTTGGTACTTCCAACATCTGGATCATCTCAGGGATTCTCATTTGTTTACCATCTTTTCCCTTGAAAATTGGTCACATGTCTCTGGTTCTTCATGTCCTGAGCAATATTGGGTTGATGCCTGTACAACTTGAACTTTTTTACAAGTTATGAAGAACCTTTAAAAGTTTAACCTTTAAAATACTGGATTTTTTTTTTTTTTTTTTTGGTCAGTCATGGGGCCTGAACTCTGGGCCTGGGCGCTGTCCCTCAGCATTTCTGCTCAAGGTGAGCACTCTACCACTTGAGCCACAGCGCCACTTCTGGCTTTTTCTGCCTATGTGGTGCTGAGGAGTCGAACCCAGGGCCTCAGGCATGCAAAGCAAGCGCTCTACTACCCAGCCACCTTCCAAGCCCAAAGACTGGAACTTTTTTAAACCTTCTGAAGAATACTTCTGGTTTGGTTTGGTTTAGTTTGGTTTGACCTGGTTAGGTTCAGACAGCATATTCGCTCTTTGATTTTGTCTTTTGTGATTCTAATGCCAGTTAACTTTTGAAAGTCTTTGTTAGCCTTCATGCTAGCACCAGTCAGGAAACTGTAGGAGTTCAGTGGTGCTTTTGATCAGAGTTTATTTCCAAAGCCATTGTTGCATGGCTTTCGCACCATACTCTGCACATGCAGGTCAGGTAAACCTGGAGCTTGACTGGGTTCAATTGCAGAGTTTTATTCTCCAGTTTTTTCTACTCTTCAGTTTCCTACCGTGTTCTTTGTTCCAAAGAGCCTCTTCCCTTTGCCTTATGACTGGAAAGATTGCTCAGAGTTGTTGCCAGTGCTACCACCCAGTTCCTGTAACTAACGCTGCCTGGGGGTACCGTGACACAAATGGAGAGAGAAAACCCTGCGTTCTTCATTTTGCAGTACTCAGAAAACTGAGTTTGTGACCATTTCACTATTACTATTGGTAGATTTCAAAAACTAAAAAAGAGATTTCCCTTTTTTGAGAGCTCCTTTTTGCTTTGTGGCCCAAAAGAACCCTTGTCAGTTCATCTAGTATATTTTGTTACGTGTTTCCATACTTGAGCTGCTCTCAGATCTAATCTGAGAGAAAAAGGAAAAACATGAAGCTCACCCCAGTAAGGAATGTTTTTCAATTTTAGGCTTCTCCCCATCTGCCTACTATTTTGAGCTTTTGGAACTTCAGTTGCTTTTTGTATTTTTTGTCCTAAATGTTTGCTATAGCTGTGAGGGAGATTTACTCCAGTGGACTTAGCAATATTTTGGCCTGTGCCAAATGTCCAAGAATATTTTAACACTAATGTGTGAAGAAAGAAAAAACTTCTTGCAATAAGAATTGATTTATTGAGTGAAATGTAGCAGTCTTTCAGAATGTTGTTGCTGACTTATGTTCTCTGTTCCAAGTAAGCACCAGCCCATTGATGAGGATTTTCCTGTATCTCCTTTCTGTTGTGAAGCTCTAACGGTTGATAGGTTTCACTGCTTAGTAAGGGACATGAGAATATGCAGAAAGGTTAGGGATAAGCTTGGAAGTTTGTGCATGTGTGCATGTACGCACACGTGCACTTGCTCTATAGAAATTGAAATTTAAACAACATAGGCCTATGGAAACTCAGGATTCACCTTTTCAAATCAAGGGGAGTTAGCTGTGGTCTCCAACTCATCTTAAAGGTCTCTCCCCCCCCCCCCGCCCCCGTTATACTGGCTTGAACCTGGCCTCACATTCTGAGCTATTTCTGCTTACAGCCAGTGTTTACCAGTTGAATCATGCCTCTACTTGTAGTTTCTGAATTTTTGTGTTTTTTTTTTTTTGATTAAGAGTCTTGAGGATTTGTCTGCCCTGTCTGGCTTTGAACTGTGATCTTCATATCTCAGCCTCCTGAGTAGTTGGCAGTCTGTCACTTGAGCCCCAACTCCACTTCTGGCTTTTTGATAGTTAATTAGAGATCAGATAGTAATTGGTGGGGCTGACTTGGAGCCTAGACCTCAGCATCCTGAGGAGGTAAGGGCCACCTGCAGTGTGAGTCACTGGTGTCTGACCTCTACCTTCATGTCTTTTCACATAAGCATTCAAGAGGAACCAAGCAGTTTCTCTGACAAGTTGCTGCAGCCCATACGTATGTCACTTTTTATCAACATAGTCTTTTCAGCTAATAATGAATTTTATCGCTCACAAGCTCTACCTTTCACGGAACACCAAAACATAAACAGTTCAGCCAAGTTCTTTGCCACTGTATACCTTTCCTCCATTACCTCACGAGAATGGTCTTCATTCGTGTTTCTAACACGAATGAAGTGATTTCTGTATTCTGTAAGAAGATAGGGGCTTTCTTTCCAACTTTACTCTTCCTTGAGAGAACACAGCAGAACTCTGCTGTAGCTTGGATCTTGAGAGTGTCCCACAGAGTCTTTTGTGACTTTTCTTGGGGGGTGGAGGGAAAGGTGGAGCCTTTAAGTGGGAAGGTCTAGTGAGAAATCTTAAGAGTGTTCAGGGCCTGGTGTTGAAAGGGATAATGGGACCCAGGCCCACACATTCCCTCTTTGTCCAGATATAACCAGTTTGCTCTACCAGGCCCTCCCACTATGAGGTACTGCTTACACTGGTCCAAATTACCAAGGCCAGTAAATCACAGGCTGAAGCCTTCAAAATTGTGAGCCAAAAAAAGACCTTTTCACTGTTGGCTGGGTGTTATTTCCCTTACTTTCCCAGCCTGTACCCATTATGTAGTCACTTCCACCTTTCTTGGTATTTGTTATATCAGTACCCTACTACTTGGTACCAGTATTCACTTTTGTAAGATCAGGTTGCTGTAATAGAATATTGCAGACTGGATGACAGAAACTTAATTCTCATGATTCTGAAAGCTGTTGTGTCCTAATACCAAGGGGAGAGCTGGTTTGATGTCCATAGAAAGCTCATTTTGAGTACTCCTGACTGTTTTCTCTGTGTGTTCTCACATGGGTAAGATCATTTTTTTTCCTCCTGTCTCCTTGTATAAGGGCACTAAATTTTACCTACAATGGAGTAGTGGCTAGATTGTGTATTATTTTCTTTACCAGATTAGAGAGGTGTGGCTTAGTCGTCAAACATTCTGTTTGAATCCTCAGAACACTACTGTAACTATGAGCTTTTACTTGTGGCAATCCCTAAAAGAATACCAGTCCCCACTTCTTTAGATGAAGGTAGAAGCAGTGGTGTATCCAGACAGTCCTCGGTGAACCAGAATGGTAACGGGAAGGAGATAGTGTGGCTTATACTGATACCCCAGGTGTGGGTTGTGGGGAAGAAGGGGTGGCAGCTCTGAGCTTAACACAAAGTGGAGTTAGAGGAGGTGAGGGTGGAGGGGAAAGAGACGTGAGAATTGAACAGGTAGACACATAAGAACACAAAGACAGAGTGATGTTGGGCTTTCTGTTACCAGATAAAAGTGTAGGTAGCAAAGATTAGGAACAGGGGAAAATAGAATAAAACAAGAAAAAAGAGAAGGAAAGTATACATGGGGAAGGGCAGTAGGAAAGGGAAGGAAGTGTGAAGGAAGATTGAATACTGTCATGGCTCAGATATGACTGCAGAGAAGAGGAAGGGAGGGCAAAGAAGAACTACAAAGAGAAGGAGAGGGAGAGCACAAAATTAAACATGCTGTAGACATACGAATAGAAAGTCCAAGGCAATTTTGCATGAAACAAAAGCTGGTTTCTTTCAGCTGTTGGCCTCAGCTGGCACTTGCATTCTTCCAAGAGGAGTCTGGAGTCTCTGCTTCCTGTGTGCCAGGTGTGTTGAGCAGCTGCCTCTGGCATGCCAGCTCCCAAAACAGCCAGTGCTAGGTTGAACTGCTCTGCGGGGCCCTGCGATCACTTTTCCTCTCTTTGAACACCTCTTGCAACCGACTTACACCCAAACTCCATGACAAAGTTGTTCAGAGACTCCTTGAGCATGATTGTTCTTTTTCTCAGGCTCCAAGGTCCTTCAACCATCAAGGATAGCCCTTCCACACTAGACTACTTGCTGGCTCACAGATCCTTGTACTGGAATGAAGGCTGGAGGATGTGTGGGCTTTTCCTGCAGCTAGTTTTACAGTTTGTTGCCAGGGTTCTGTGCTTCCTCGTAATGGAGTCTTCAGCTTCCCCTCCCTCGGGAGCTGGGGCTGGCCTTAGAACTCCTCACTATTTCTCTTCTTTTGCCTTGTTTTCTCTGATTTTCTGCCTCCCACCACCGCCTTTGTGGTTCCTGGTTCTCTTCTGTTTCTTGCTTCAGAATCTAGTCTTTTCTCTGTTGCCACAATCTTGCCAAAATTGGCATTTCTGATCTGCCGTCTTTAATTCATGGTCTTGGCCTTTCGGCTAGTACTCCTGTGCCCTGCTGCCTTGCCCCTTCCTTCATGTCTTGCTACTTCATAAGGTTCAGTCACCACTCCCTAAGAGAATATTGTGAGAATACTCAAATGTGAATAGTGTGTAAGATACGTGCTTCCTAGATGTAAGTTCAGTAGTTGTTTATGCTGTATGTACCGTTTTCTCGTGTGTGTTTATGTATGTAGACAGGCACATTCCTTTTATGGTCAAACCATTTGAAGGTTGTAGATAGCATCATGACAGTTTACTCCTAAAAATTTCAGCATATCTCTCCTGTTTTCCTACAATACCACTATCATACCAAGAACATAAAGTGCTTTTTTTGTTTGTGTGTTTCTGTTTTTGTTGGTTGTGGGGCCTGGGCACTGTCCCTAAGCTCTTTTGGCTCAAGGCTAGTGCTCTCCCACTTTGAGCCACGGCTGTACTTCTGTTTTTTTTCTTCTGGTCGATTGGAGATAAGAGTCTTCAGACTTTCCTGCCCAGGCTGGCATCGAACTATGATCCTCAGATCTCAGCCTCTAGAGCAGCTAGGATTATAGGCGTTAACCACCAGCATGTGGTGGTCATGGTATTTAAATCTGTGTATTCTTATTTTTATCTTGCCTGTTAATTGCTTGCGGTAAAGGAAATACAGATATTGCGTATATTGTATGTATGTATGTGATAGTACATTCATCTTGAAACAAGAGTATGTCTAGACCATGTCTAAGAGTGGATGAATATTATCAAGAAGTTTCTGTTGTTGGGCATGGGGCCTGGGTGCTGTCCCTAAGCTCATCAGCTCAAGGCTAGCACTCTACCACTTTGAGTCTCAGCGCCACTTCTGGTTTTCTGTTGGTTAATTGTAGGTAAGAGTCTCACGTACTTTCCTAGCTCAGGCTTGCTTTGAACCACAATCCTCAGATCTCAGCCTCCTGAGTAGCTAGGATTACAGGCGTGAGCGACTGGTGCCCAGCTCAAAGGCAGGTTTGTTTTTTTTTTAATAGTAAATGTAGAGTAATTGAAAAAATTCTGGAATAACTTTCAAAAATTAGATTGCTTTTGTTTCTAACTAAACTGGGAAGAAAACTAAGGATTGTTGACTTTTTTGATCTTGAAAACAGAAATTTTGGCAATAAGAGATATAGGAAATGTGCTTTTCTAAATAAACCAGAAGCAAATGGCAAGCATGAAACAGCTCTTCAAGGAAGAACATTGTGCTAAATTCTTCATCCTTAAGTACCTTACAGGAATACTCTGACCTGGTCCAGGCGGGTTCTTTTACTTTCTTGAATTTTAGGTAGTGAAATAGTAGAGGTTTATTGTTACTTTGAGATTCTCTCACAATGATAAGAAAAGTGATATCCCCCCCCCCCCCGCTTCCAGGTCTGGTATGTATAATTCATATGACAGCAAATACCTCTCTGACATTAGGTAGACTTGAAACTTAAATAGGTATCCTACTGAGTTGACTTTCTGCTTCTACTTCTGGCCCAGTATAAAGTGATTGTGTATGAATTATTTTTTACCCACCTAACTGGTCATACAGCAGAAAGTAAAACTGTCCTTTGCATTGCATTTTGACACATACCTTCCCTCTTTCCTACCTGCTCTCACTTAATTCCCATTCACTCTTTTATCAAGCTTAGACTATCTTTTTACGTCTTCCATCTATCAAACGTTCCTATTTGTGGCCAGTGGTGCTGTGAGCTCATCAGGTATCTAGTGCCCCATGAAATTGTTTTAGGATGGGAGAGAGAGGTATGGGAGAGTAATGGAGGGGTGAGTTTGATCCAGATACATTGTATTTAAATGTGAAAATGTCATAACAAAGCCCTCCCCTTGTACAATTAATGTATGCTAATAAATAATTTTAAATAATGGATTTTGGTTCACAGGAGAATTAAAAAGAAAAGTGCAGGGGCTGGGAAGGTGGCTCAGTGGCAGAGTGCTTACCTTGCATGCATGAGGCCCTGGGTTCGATTCCCCAGCACCACATAAGCAAAAAGAAAAAAATCCGGAAGTGGCGCTGTGTCTCAAGTGGTAGAGCGCTAGCCTTGAGCTGAAGAGCTGAGGGACAGCGCCCAGGCCCAGAGTTCAGGCCCCACTACCGGACCCAAAAAAAAAAAGAAAAGTGCAGAAATTTCATTTATGTTCCCTGCCTGAGCACATGAAAAGCCTTCCCCTTATCAACATCTCTCACCACAGTGGCACATTTGTTGCGATTATAGTTCTTTTTAGTCTTCCTTTGGGGAAGGCGTGCTGAGGGGAGAGACTGCTAACTGGTCATTGAACATTTTGCATAGAGCTGTTTCCATTTTCTTTGTTAAAGTGGATTAGGGCAGTGTAAGCCAGAAATTATCTAGTAGGTAAAAACAGCTGGTAGAGAAATTTGTACCTAAAGGTGGTGAAAGAATCCAAAAGGAGAATAGGTAACTTTTCTTATAAAAGAAGAGTATCTTGGAAATTTTGATGTCTGTCATTCTTCTTTTTTTTTCAGTTGCTCTAGGTCGGAACCAGCCTTTGAAGAGGGAGAAGCCGAAATGGAAAAGCGATTACCCCATGACAGACGGACAACTCCGCAGCAAGCGGGATGAGTTCTGGGACACTGCACCAGCTTTTGAAGGCCGCAAGGAGATTTGGGACGCTTTGAAGGCTGCTGCGCATGCCTTTGAGAGCAATGACCATGAACTGGCACAGGCCATCATCGATGGTGCAAGCATCACACTACCGCATGGTAAGCCAGACGGTCCTGCAGGACAAAGGAACACATCAGCTTCTTTCTGATGACAGAAACACATAGCAAGGCACTTTGGTTTTTCTGTGTTTTTTGTGTGTCTTTGTATGTTTTTCAGCTGGAGATAATTCACTTTGTGTCTATATATTTTTATTTATCTGCATTCATTCATTCATTCATTGGTGGTGTTTGGGTTTGTAATCCTACTAGCTGGGCAGGCACCTGACTGCTTGGGCCATTCTCCTAGCCCTCATTTTAATATTTCCTAATCTCAGAAGATAGAACTGTTGAAATAGTGTTTTTGTAATTTTTGTAGTTTCAAGATCACCTAGTTGTCTGTAAAGATGTCTTGTACCCTCCTGCTTCCTCCTCCAATTTCCATCCCTCAGCACATCTGTAAGTGCTTCTGCCCTGCTGCCTTCCTACTGGGGGCAGAAAAGGTCTCACTTCAGAGAGTCTCAGGGTACACCTTTACATATCATATTTTCTCTTTAGGCTTATTTGTAGCATAAGGCACTAACAGACTTAGAAATGAGTCTTGTGTCTTCTCAAGGGTGGTGTTCTAGGATTATAACCTTGAGCAGTATTAGAAACCTCTCTTTGGTTAGGAATGTGACTAGAGACAACTATAAACTTCAAATGTTTACAGAGATACATATATTCTGGATCCATCTTATTTGGTCTCCGTGATTAGAATCATTAAAAACTTGGATTAGAGACATGACTCCAATAACTGTGCTTCCAAGAAACATTTCTTTTTTTAAACTAGCTGCCTGTTATTTATTATAAAAGCTTATTAGCGTAGGCTTTTATTGAGCACCCATTGATCACCTTTTCAACATATATAAAATGATCCTTTCCCATTTGAAGTATCTGTAATATAGTGCTATGTTAGTATGACATCTTCTTTTTTTTTTTTAATGTGCCAGTCCTATTTTTGAACTCATGACCAGCGCACTGTTCCTGAGCTTTTACTCAAGGCTAGCGGTCTGCCACTTGAGCCACAGCTCTCCTTTCAGCTTTTTGGTGTCACTTGGAGATAAGAATCTCATGAACTTTCCTGCCTGGGCTGGCTTTGAGTAGCTGGGATGACAGGTGTGAGCAGTGGTGCCCGGCAGGACTTCTTTTTCTCTTTTCTTCCTTTTTTTTTTTTTTTTTGTGGCAGTGCTGAGCTTTTTAATTGAGGCCTCCTGCTTGCGATGCAGGCAGGCGTTCTACCCCTTGAGTCATACTTGCATGCCTTTTTGCTTTAGTTATTTTTCAGGTCAGGTCTGGAATTCATTGCTGGTTACTTAAATGTTTCTGGCATAGCTGTGGTGACAGCTCAGCTTTTTTGTTGAGATGGAGTCTTGAATACTTTTTCTACTAATTGGCCTCAAGGCACCCCCCTAATCTCTGTCTCCTGAGTAGCTGGGATTGCAGATAAATTTTCTAAGATATAAATGATGGGCCTGATATTTGGAGTCAGCTCTGAGGGTAAAGCAGCTCAGTATACATCTGACACTATTTCTGTGTGTGTCCTGTAAAGTGATTGCACAAGTCATCTTCAATGTTGTTCTTATTTTGGGGGGGTCCAGTTGTGGACCTGAACTCTGGGCCTGGGCGCTGTCCCTCAGCTCTTCAGCTCAAGGCTAGCGCTCTACCACTTGAGCCACAGCGCCACTTCCGGAGTTTTTTCTTTTTGCTTATGTGGTGCTGAGGAATCGAACCCAGGTCCTCAGGCATGCGAGGCAAGCGCTCTACCACTGAGCCACCTTCCCAGCCCTCGATGTTTTTTTTTTAGATTTATGTTTATTAAACGTACAAAGGAGTTCAATTGTACTCATGAGTACAGTGTATCTTGAGCGAGAGTTACCCCTCCCATTGCTCTTCCCCCATCTCTCCCAATCCCATCCTACGTAACTATGTCAAGTTAAGCAGTTAAGTTTTGCCATTGTGTTCATTGAGTATAATGACGATGTTTGCCCACCCTGCCTCCCTGCATTCAAGTGTTCCCTCTCATTACCACTCCCCACCGCCCCCCAAACATGTTCCGGCTTCCTGATATTCATTTTGTTAAATGGTTCATTAGTTTTACTTCCCTAAGTATAACATCCTTTAGTCAATTTGTGTATACATACTTGTGGATCTTTAATGTTTATCCCATGTCTAACTTAGAATGGTTTTAAATGCATATCATATTTTAAATGGTGTCTGTCTTTAGTCCTATAGGGAAACAAGCAATTTCTCAAAAACAAATTGGTTAAAAGCAGGCTGGGAAATTTTGGGTGCTTTAAAGATACCTATAAAAATTTGTCAGAAATAGTGCTTTGGCTCAAGTGGTAGAGTGCTAGCATTGAGCACAAAGAGGCTCAAGGGGGGCAGGGAAGATGGCTCAGTGGTACAGTGCTCGCCTAGCATGCATGAAGCTCTGGGTTTGATTCCTCAGTACCACATAAACAGAAAAGGCCGAAAGTGGCACTGTGGCTCAGGTAGTAGAGTGCTAGCCTTGACCACAGAGAGGCTCAGAGACAGAGCCCAGTCCCTGAGTTCAAGCCGCAGGACTGGACCAAAAAAAGAGGCTCATGGACAGCTCCCAGGCCCTGAGTTCATGCCCCACAACTGACAAAAAAAAAAAGAAAAAAGAAAAAAATTTGTCATTGAACGAACATGTTAGTCCATAAAAATAAACCATAGGAATGAAGGCATGAGGATATTGTACTTACAGGGGAGGTGAGAGATTTTTCCCAGGATGTTACTGTGTTTGGAAATTAAACGTGCCTAAATACAGGATCTGATGACTAGTTAATCATAGATGTTATTTCATTTTCCTGGCTCTATCCTCAAAGAGACAAAGATAGTTATAAAGTATAAATTTGTCTACTCCCCTGCTGCTGCCATCCTCTTTCTTCAGTTAGAGCAATGAAGTCTGAAAATAGCTGAAGTAGGAAGTTGTCCTAAGTCCGTAGGCTTGTCTCTTTTAAGAAGGCCTCTTTTCTATGCTACTTGAGTGGTGATAGGGAAGCCTGATTCTGGTGAGATCCCATGGGGGTGTGCTCTACCAACTGCTACTTCTATTAAAGCCAGATAGCTTTAAATAGATCACCACATCCAAGTGCTTTAGAAAGATGGCTAAGCATTTTACAACATGTGTTTTTTGGTTGGGTTGGGTTGGGTTTTGTGTGTGTGTGTGTGTGTGTGTGTGTGTCAGTCAGTTGGTGTGTGTGTCAGTGAGTCAGTCCTAGGGTGTGTGTGTGTGTGTCAGTCAGTTGGTATGTGTGTCAGTGAGTCAGTCCTAGGGTGTGTGTGTGTGTGTGTGTGTGAGTCAGTTGGTGTGTGTGTGTGTGTCAGTCAGTCAGTTGGTGTATGTGTCAGTGAGTCAGTCCTAGTGTGTGTGTGTGTGTGTGTGTGTGTCAGTCAGTTGGTGTATGTGTCAGTGAGTCAGTCCTAGTGTGTGTGTGTGTGTGTGTGTCAGTCAGTCAGTTGGTGTATGTGTCAGTGAGTCAGTCCTAGGGTGTGTGTGTGTGTGTGTCAGTCAGTTGGTG